GTGTTTCGTTTAGAATCATTCAACAAGTTCACTAAAGTAGAGAAAGAGTCCTCGAACACGAAGGACGACATCAGCCATTGAGATTAACGTCCTTGTAAGGCACGTTCGACAGCTGTCGCTCGTTTTCTGGATCATTTTAATTGAAAATAGTCATCCTGTCGGAGGCTGCGAGCATCAATTTACTCGATTATACTGGGTCAATTCGTAGAGAAGAAAAAAAAGAAAAGATAGAAAGAGATAGAGAGATGTGGATAGAAGAGTATGTTATGGGAAGGAGGAGAGAATGGGGCCTTGGCAGGTCGGTCCTCAGGCCTCGACAGAAAACCTACTATAGATTACCAGGCCTGTTATTACGACCAAGAGCGGAGGTTTTTTCGGGACCAAAAATTGGTTTTTAATGCGGGGTTCGTCGCTTTCTTCAAGCTTGAGGGGCCCCCCGTTGGTAATAACTATATTATCGAACCCTATGACCACGCGCTTCGGTCCTAGACTTCTTCTTATTTTTCTTCTTTTCTTCTTATCTTTCTTTAAGAAAAGGCAACAACAACAATAACAATAACAATAACAATAACAACAACAAAGTTACGACGACTCACGCTATACCCGTGAGGCCAAACAGAGAAGAAGTAAATTGTCCGACAACGCGACACAATGTAGAGGCTAGTTTGAACGAGACCCACGGAAGCCGCGCACGCGAGATATTCAAGATTGGCCCTTCAATAGAAATTTCCTCGAAGGTTCTTCATCGACACGTCAAGTTCCTTTCCTTTCGTGGAATATGTTATGATTAGGTATCAATGTTGACTATAGAAAATAATATAGAGATCTGGCGTATCCTACAGAAGAACTATATCAAATGATCGATAGGAAGAAGATTAAAAATTCGAAATATATGATAAGAAAATAAAAATGTAAAATATGAAAACTTATGTCATATGAAAATTATATGTTATTAAATAGAATGGATGTAATCAAATTGCAACATATGATTACAGTAATGTACCAGATATTCTATCATCATTAAAATTGTCATATAATTTCGCTAATAATAAAAAACTAATAATCTACTAATGATTCTAGTAATAATCACAAATCGATCTGATCTTCGATCCATGGAACATATGGTTCAAGGAAGATTCGCTAAAGATTCAACACAAATATCATAAATTTTCTTCTTTCGAAATCGATATAAACTTACATTTCTCGATCAATCATCGTTATAGTATTAGTTAAAATCCGCGAAGTTAGTCGGCCCTTTGTGTATGTGGAGCGGCCGCGTCAGTTGTTCCAAGGCGATTTATTATGAGAATTATGAGCGAGCAAACGGCGGTATGCCCCTCTTTCCCTTTCTGCTGGTGCATCCCGGTACATCGCGGCGCTGCAGGCCGGTGCGGTATGAGGAGGTGCTAGTAAGAGGCGGTACTGCCTCGTAAACCTTAGATTTACTTCTGGCTGGCCGCCATCAAAGTACCATGTACCACTACGTAGATATCCTACACCTTCATACATAGCGCGAGAAGAACCATCTCGAGATACTTATCGACGATATTGCCGCGAAGAGGGCTGAGAGAGAGACAGAGAGAAAGAGAGAGAGAGAGAAAGAGGCACAGAGAGAGAAAGAGAAAGAGAGAGGCAGAGATAGAGACAGAGAGAGAGAGAGAGAGAGAGAGAGGGAAAGAGAGGGAGAGAGAAAGAGAGAAAAGATAGAAAGAAAGACTGTTAGAAACTCTTTAGAAAAGGATGTACCCTATTCCTCTTTCTGTCCGTCTCTTTCTTTCTCTCGCTTTCTCTCTTCGCCATTCCCTTCATTTTCTCGATGAAATCGCAAGATCTTCTCTTGGAAGTATAACGTCCTAGGGAATTCAGTTGTGTCGGTTCAAACTTGTAATAACATCACAGAATGGCAGACTTACAAATGTAATAGTATAGGCTCGAGAAGACAATTGAGAAGCTCGTAACTTTGAAAGCAAAGGTTCAACTGATCGGACCTACTTCAAAACTATCCACGATTCGAACGTCTCGTTGAAATATGACTCGCGGCGGTCGATTGCGTTAAACCGGGTCAACATTTTTTTCACTTGTTCTCCTTAAGAAAACACAAATGTGAATCCTCCTTTCACAGTTATTTACCTCGTCGATTCACGTTCAGTCAAAAGGTAAAAGAAGGGAGTAAGAAGGAGTACGAAGGCAAGCTCTTTTCAAACTACTCAGAAGCAAACCTTTCGATCATTTATCGCTTTAGGCTGTAGGAAAGGTTGGAAATCGATTTTTACGAGAAAGTGAAACGAACGAGGATCAAAGTTTGATCCTTCCAGCTTGTGTGGCCTCCTAAGATGCATCTTTTCTTTAGCGAAGAAGGCATATACACATTCGCATATACGTAGTTGCTGCAGCCATCCGAGGAAGCGAGAGAGAGAGAGAGAGAGAGAGAGAGAGAGAGAGAGAGAAAGAGAGAGGGAAAGAGAGCGGTTGCGATCGAAGAGGTACTACGCGCCGATACGGATATATCAGCCATCTTGGCGCACACGGGCGTGGATAAAATTTGGTAATAAAATTTGTTCCCGCCAGTTAGGCAGACAGGGCTCTCTGCCAAAAGCGCCTATTAATTCTTTATCTTTCATCTCCACCACTCGGGCACCTCTCAACCTCCCTTTTGGAAACCCACCACCAACGGCGTCGTTCGCGATCCTTATTGTCGAAAGAGAGAAAGACGATTTTCAATATTCTACAACAGTCATAAAATCTTACTCGCTCTTTCAAGATCTCTTGGAACGCTTTCCCATTATATATGTACATAAATTGGATGAGCATACGTTCCGTACTCTGCCTATTAAGTCGTTTCTGACATCTTTCGTATATTTCTCTCTCTTTCTCTCTCTCTCTTTCTTTCCCTCTCTCTCTCTCTCTCTCTCTCTCTCTTTTTCTCTCTCTCTCTGTTCTTTTTTACTTCTTATCATATACAAGTTTTCCTTCTTTCTTTCTCATTCGAAAAATGATATTTTCACAAGACGAAGACATAAGATCGCTCGAAATCGCACGCTACTTTGTCGTTCGATCTAACCGGACACACCTGCTCTCTTTCTCTTTCTCTTTTCTTCTTGCTGCAGTGACTTTCAGTTTCCTGGAACCATCAGCGTGTCAGTCACTTTATCGTTCAATGTTAATAAGCTCGATAAGGAGCATCGAACGATGTCCGTTCCTCTTGCTTACCCGTAATTGCTGTAATAAATCTTATTCCTATATTATAAATTTGCTTCCTCTTCACGGTTGAATCCATGTTTTTGACTTTCTCGAGATGACGTAGGTAATATACATGCAGGTAATAGTACTTAACGTTCACAATTTCGTGACATTTGTTTATATGACTTCAATCGTTCTACGTAAGATGTAACTTATGTGATTCTTTTAACCGGATAATTTCACCTATCTATCTTCCTCTATTTTTTCTTTTATTATCGACAATAGGAAAAGATTTGTCATCTCGAAATAGATCGAATTTGTTATTCATTCAGATGCGTTCCAATCACTGATGATAGTTTTGCCTGTTCGTTATAATGCCATAATTATAATGTCATAATTATAATCCCATTATGGTACATATCACTCATATAGTTTTTTTAAAGGATTCTCCACTAGCCGTTGGCACGATCATACCTTACGAGATAATTCTGAAGACAGAGATCATCTTTTCTTTTTCTTTTTTTTTCATTTGAAATTTATGACTTATTCGATAAATTATGACTTATTATCGTATTCGAATGTGAAATAGATTTAAAAAAGTTTTTAGGTAATTACTAACAGAACGAGAAATCGATATTGAATCGATATATCTTTCTAATAAAATAGCGTTGTTTCTAGACAGATGTTAAAGCGAATATATACATATATATATAAGTAAGTACGTTGCCAGAAAGGCGAACATATTTAACGATTTATTAGTAAATATTATTTTGATAATTCTAGGAAACATGATTACTCATATTTTATGAGAAACATGACTAACTATTTAATAAACATACGTTTCTTTACGATTTTGTAAACAAATACACTGTTTTTCTTTTAAGCTATAAAAAACAGGTTTGTTAAAAGCATTCAAATCAAAATATGTTATATATACATATACATACATATGTGTGTACTCAAAAAAATACTTATTATTTTAACCCACGACAATAAAGCATATCGCTTTTCTTTCGCAATATACATAAACATTAAATATTAAGCAGAATGAAAAGATTCAAAAATTATTAGATAAGTGAACTATTAAATAGAAAGAGTAATGTATAGTAATGAATTGATAAAGTTAATAATCATGTTGACGTTAATAGCTAACTATATTTTTTCCGTTCTAATTTCTATTTGTATTCCTGTAAACTCTAAACTTATTAATGCCAATACCAAAGAATAAAAATAAATAGTTTGCATTGATCATTCGAATTTATCATTAATTTCGTTGTATATAACCTTCGTACTTCTATTATTTTTTTCCACGATCACTTTCCCACTCGAGCTCTCCTTTCTTTTCTTTCTCCTTCTTCGTTGTAAATATCTTTAAAATCTTTTTTTAATTATTTCACACTCGGATACATTTGGAAGAGAATATTCTAACTGATCGTATCAAATCACAACTTTTATCGATATCTCATGACGGTTTACTAATAGAATATTATCGAATGCTTACTAATGGAATATTAATTAGATCGATTAATTAGTACACAGAAATGGGTACCCACGCAGTTTCTGTTTTTATCATGAACACACTGTATAGTACGACAAAAAGTACTGGATAAAAAAGTGAAAGGGAAGAAGTCAAGGGGAGATATTTGATATCTGGTCCAGCGTGGGTGAGAGTGGATGGTCCTATAGATAGGAAGTATGATGGTAGAGAAAATGAGAAAGAGAAAAAGATATATATATATATATATATATATATATAGAGAGAGAGAGAGAGAGAGAGAGAGAGAGGGGGGGGGAGAGAGAGAGAGAGAGAGAGAGAGAGAAAGGAAGAAGAACGAGGTCTTGTCCGAGCGAGAGATCGACGAAGAAGATAGTCGATACCTCTGGGAAATATCGGTATCGATAGTCGATCGGGCCTAAATGGTTTATGCGAGCGATCGACCTTCGACCTCTTGTAATAACTGGTAAGGAATCTGCCGCCTGATCTATTGGATCGAACTCGATCGTCTTACACCTTGCTTACGATGAGACTCGAACGTTATCTCCTTTGTTCTTTAAGGATTTGAACGATTATGTTTATTACGAATCTCCGTCGTCTGATAAATCTTGCTTCAATCGAATAATATTTTCGGACATTATTTTAAAATGAATGATACCATTAATGTATGACACCTTTCGCCGATTCTGTTATGGATCTTCTTAATCCAGTACTTTAAAGATCAGAATCAACGAATTACGATGATCGAGTTTGACTCGACAGATTGAAAATAAAAAACGATGGAGAAACGATAAAAGATTAGACGAGAAATAGGAAAAGGAGAAGAGGAAGTACAGTTGAGTCCCGGTCACCTGGCTTAGCACACGATCGACGAGCAAATCACGCAAAAGATAAAGAGCAACAGAAAGAGAGAAAAAGAGAGAGAGAGAGAAAGTAAGAGAGAGAGAGAGAGAGAGAGAGAGAGAGAGAAAGAGAGAGAGAGAAGCTCGAAAGGCCCCCCGATAGTCGTTAACGTTTCCTTCTTCGGCACCCGAGGAATACGAACGTAAATTATTCTCGGGGATCGCGATTAGAGGTGGCCGGCCAACCACCTGCCGGATTCACGCACGAAGACTGCCAGGTATTAATAATCCAAGGATTTACGAGATTCACGATCGTCGACGATCTTCCTTCGTTAAGAAAAGAGACGCCTTCATTGTTGATCCTGAGTCTTTCCCTCCCCACTCGCTTTTTTTCCCGATTATTCTCCACCATTACCCTCGATCTATCAACACGAAGACTTTCAACGAACATGTTTGTAAATAGCTTACCCGGATTACTCGTTAGCTTTAAAGGTTATATTGCCGTGAGATAGCGTTTGATCGATCCTATAATGATTTATACGAATATTATAATTACCATGTGATCTCTGTCTTTGAACTTTTTTGAATCCTTAATTGAAACTTCATTAGAATAGTGAGATAACTTATAGTCGAAATCAAGTTCATTTTAGTAATTTATGTTTTTTCAGTCTGAAATAGAAAAAATATTATCCCAGAAGTAATCAATTATATCTATTCGATATCTATGAAAATTATAATTTCGTAGGATGTTTAAAAATGAACGAAAAAGAAAGTTAGAGGAAAATAAACTTACCTGAAGATTGCGTCATATGAATATAATCGGTAAAATATCTTTCGATGATCGTACATGAAGACTATCTTCGCGACGAAAGAAGTATCGGTCCATCGAACACAACGACGCTCCTTCCTACGTGAATAATAATATTACAGTGGGCTCGACGATGTGCACAATGGCCTTTTGTTGAGGAGGCGTCCAGTCGCGCGCGTAAACGCTGCGCATGCACGAACTAACACGCACGCGATGCGCATAAATCGCGCGACGAAGACGAACCCCGTCTTCCGCCATCTTTTCTTACTCCTACTCCTTCGCTTCGACTCTTTCTCGCTTATAACCATTTCCTAACAATTTTTTTTTCTTCGATATAAAAAAATCCGATAAATTATTTATTTTCGAAAATCTTTAATCAATAATAACGTGTCTTAAAAAGAAAAAAAAGCTTTTATTTTATTTTTACGAATTATTTTTCATAAATTTCAAATAATATACGTTCCGTACTGTAAATTTTCTAATTCTGATTATTTATAATCATTGTTAAAAATATCTGACTTACCGTGTTGCAATTCAAAAAGTTTTATTTACTTGGAATGATCGGACAGATTATTTCTTGCATCACCATATTGCGAGCGAATTTACAACGATTCCCTTTCATTTCTTTCTCCGTGTCACTATAGAATGAAATATCATTACTGATTGTAATATGTCATTGTCTAGTTAATAATGGAATATAAATTAAATTTCTCGAACAGTCTATATTTCTCTGTTCGATGAAACTGACAAGCTGAAACCGAATATCTTTTCGAAGCTTTTGTCTTCTCCCCTTTCTCGTTCGTCCTATCTCTCGCGGATGAAATGAATCAATCCGCGAGGGATCGTGCTTCAATAAAGTTGTAAATGTTATTGCGAGTACGGAATGCGTTTCATGTCAATAATATCCCTACGATACATGATAAAGTCAACTTCTGTTGGTTTGTTTCACTACGGAAATAATACACCCGTGATTTATTAATTATTACTTCGATTCAAAGCTTATCGTACCAACGCAACGTAATGTTCCGCAGCTAATATACATATATTACATACATAAATACATATACGCACGCTGAGTCAGAAGCAACACAATACTCGTAGAACGTAGCACGAAAATAGAAATCTCATTAATGATCATTCTTAATTGGCATCAATATGAAGAAAATATCAATTAATTCCAATAATAATATTTATACGTATCGTAGGGTTTGTTTCGTATAAAAAATAAATAATAATAATAATAAATAATAATGACATGACATGTTGCAATAAGTTGGTCGAAAATCGGATATCAACTTGAAGTTAATGTCGTGTTTTCGAGGTGATATCGTAAGATTAAAAATAAATGTCGCCTTAAAGCGCATGAAAACAGAAAAAGAAAGAAAAAGGAATAAAAAAAATGTTCGATTTCGTTTAAAGTCCGCAATTCGGCACGGAGACACGAGCGAGCGCGGGTGCAATCGCCTCGTCGTAAATTACGACGAACTAGCGGAGCTCAGCGATAAACGTATAATTAACTAGGTACGCACGCGCGCTTTAAATTATTACGAATGAGACAGGGTAACCCACGTAGATACGTACAATCTACGTTTGTATGCGTATATGCACGCGCAAACCCGGCGGATTTGCGATTTCGCGCATTAACATAGCTTTGATATGATAACGCAAAAGAGGCGAACGAAAATTAATGAAGAAGAAGACAAAAAAGAACACAATAATGAAAACCACGTCGAAGGAATTTGTTTTACTTTCTGAAGAAACTAATTATTGTCATTAATAATAGTATTATTATTATTATTACTGTTATTATTATTATTAATAGTAGTAGTAGTAGTAATAATAGTAGTATCATTATTATTATTATTATTATTATCGTCACTGTGTGAAGTCGAAGCAGAGACGACTCAAATGAAAGTACTGAAATTTTTCGTGCAAAAATTTATCATATCCAGTATAAATATCGAAAAGTTCAAAGTGAACAATTAAGATCGTGACGTAATGTTTGCGCGCATTCGAGTAAATAATTTTTTTTTCTCAAAATTATTGGTAGGATGAAGATTTTTTATGAAAAATTATTTCATTAAGATAATGGCGAGAAAAGGAGCACGAAGCAAAAATTTGTTCCGGATATAATATGGAGCCTGTGAATGAATGAAGAAGTGGATAAGGTCGTTAGGATAGAACGAGCAGCATAGTCTTGAGAATAAATTAATATATTTTTAATGGATATATGGTACGTACTATCTTGCATCCTGGATTTTATGGCATCGCTTTATTTTTCTCATTCTTTCTCTCTCTCTCTCTCTCTCTCTCTCTCTCTCTCTCTCTCTCTTTCTCTCTCTCTCTCTCTCCCCCTCGCTTCCCCACAACTTTCCACCGGCCAACGTTTACGCTCGATGTGAATGTGTGAATGAGGGTCAAAGGAAAACGCATCCCTTTCTGTATCCCTTTGTCGTTATCTTGGCTTATCGCGCCTGCCTAGATCTTTTATAAGTTCTTCTATTATATACATAGGTATACCAGGCGAAATCTCTATTGCTTTAAAATTTAAATAATATCCGCGATTCGACGAACACTTGCTTTTTATCAGCTACGTGAATTAAATAAAACGTGAATCCTCCGTTATTTTGGATCTAATTATATACATTAAATACACATGCTTGTCTTTCATTTCTATTTGTCTTTCTCTCTTGTATGGACACACACGCACACTCACATACGTACACGCATACGCACACGCATACACATAGCAGACGCGCACACATAATTTGAATTTTTCCTCTTTCCCTCATCCTTCCTTAATTATCTCTTCTTTTCTCACTATCACACGGCAAAGAACCACTCACGCACGATTCACACTTTTATCTTCGGTAATATCGATCACGACATCGTTCCGATTATTGACCGAAGTCATTTCGAACTATCCATTCGTATTTTATTGCACATTCTCCTCTTCATTTATCTTTCACCTCGCATATGCCCTAAGCGAAAGATAAACTTCGTTCAAATCGGCGTCCACTCGCTGCAGATATGTCGTAACTGATATAGGCGTTGTTTTTTCTCTTTCTTCGCTTTGTCAAAGTAAATCGTTGTTGTTGGTCTATCCCTTAGGTGATATCGTGGAAACACGTTACAGACTCGTAACTCGTTTGAGAAGTTCTTTTTCTAATTTTTTTTTTCTTTTTTTATTTTATTATTCTTTCTCGATAGTCCCAGTCTTTGGAAGTTTGGAAGATTTACTACAATCGCGAGAAGTCATCGAAGTTACCGATAAGTCCTGTATTCATTTGTAATTTCTGATAAACGTGTTTAATTATTCGAACAATCACGATATTTGGATTGAAAAAATATCGAAAGTCCAAAACAAACACGTCAACATCTTTTTTCATTCGACTTTGTCAAAAATGAACATACAGAAAATCGGACTAAACTATCGAAACGTCACTACGTCGTGGACGGCGAAGTGGGCACCGAAATAGGTGACGTTGGAGTACTTGACTCCCTTCCATTCGACAACGTAGGCGTGGAAGCTCGATGTTCATTCTGATTAATTACAGGTGTACTTGTCCTGTTATTGTTACCGAGTAGACTGTCGATAGAAAATGGATTCAGCCTTTTTCTCTCCTCGCGACCCTTCACGGACAAGTCTATACTGCTACTCTGAACGTCTTCCTCGCTACTTTGTTGCCTAATCAGTCGAGTAACATTGTTATTGTTATTGTTGTTATTGTTGTTGTTACTATTATTCGCTGCCTGTCGGACCACAGATATATTCACTAATTCCCGTCTTCGTTCGAGAAGGCTCAAACCCCAATGATGAATACCTTGTTGATGATTCAAATGATCCAGACTCAAAGACGAATTTGGATTTTGTGTATTGGTACTCGCGTGATTCGTGCTCTGTCTCTGATCTGTCTGATCGGTGCTTCCATTAACCAATCTTGGATAAGACTCCCCGTCAACGGAACCGTCGGCTGCTGAATCAACTCTCTCACTTCCACTTTCGCTACAGGAATCCAAACCCCCAACAACGTCGATTTCTTCGTTAGCATCGTTACCAGAACCGGAGACGCTGCTACTCTCGTTGTTACCTAAATGTCCAAAGGAATTTCCAAGATGGCCGCTTAGAGAATTGCTACCTGACGCTGCCGCTGTTCGAGACTCCCACTCTGCTCTTAAAGTCGACAAGTCCACTGTTATACCCTGCAACAATTGAAACAAATTTTCGGAATGATTTTGAAAATCTTTCAGAAACCATTAGAAGATATTTAACAATTTCAATTAAACCATTCTTGCCTACCTTAGCGGCAAGTTTTCGTTGTTGTCGCTCAAGAGCCTTCAACAATTTCTTTTGCCGCCTTTCACGTTCTTTCCTCCTCAATTCCTCGGGTGGTATTGGCTCACCGCTGCAACTCTGAGGATGAGCATTGTGTGCCGGCCTACCAGGTCCCTTCTTCGTATGTTCCTTTTTCCTCCATTTTGCTCTTCTATTTTGAAACCATACCTAAAACAGACAACAAGACGAGCTTGCAATCAACGACGAATCTTCTAATTTATTTCTACGAGTTTGCAAATTTGCATACTTTGAACGATAAACCAGGCTCCCCTTTCCCCCACCTTTCTTTTTTCTTTAGTCTCAACAAAGATGCTCAGATTCAAAATTACAGGAGAAGAAGCAATGTCTGTCTCTTGCTGTTGGACGAAGGACCAACGACCCCCGAGGGTGTCCTGATACATCAAGAACACTAACCCTTTGCTCGTATTCGCGTGAATACTCGCGTAGCGTGAAGCACGATTTAGGGATGGCGTGCGGAGTCAACGTGTGCAAGAAGGGGGAGAGAGAGAGAGAGAGAAGAGGGGGGGGGGGCGGAAAGAGAACGAGATAGAGAGAAAGAGAGGAGAACAATAGAGAAGAGAGGAAGAGGAAACGAACAGGGCTCGCGTAGGCGGTCGGAGGAGAGGGATGAAGACATTAGTTGCGAGGGTTGGCCAGTACGTGGCGCTGCTCTCACACGCAACCAAAGATCAATAGCCCTCTTCGACCGCTGAAACACCTTCATCACGTCGTACGCCTTTATGACTTCTCCCGACCATCATCTCTAATCGTGCGTTCTCTCCTACAATTTGCTCAACAACGCTGGAATTTCAGGAACACCGGTTAAAACGTCCCCATAAATTTCCTGATGCCTTTTTCTTTCTCTCTTTCCTCTATTTTCTTCTAAAGGTAACCAAACAGGAAAATTCGTTTTCTGTTCAAACATAATTAATAGCACTATTAGCTAAAATTAATATTAAAACAATTCACAATATTTTATATCTCTTATACGTTTATTAATATATATATATATACGTGTGTGTGTGTGTGTATGTGGAATTAATTGATTAAGGAAGTTTAGCTATGAACAATATGTAATTAATAATTAATCAATACGAACAATCGATCGATCGATCGATCCAACAAGAGTATGGATTATGTAAATTCATTTTACATTTCGCGTGAGTATGATGGGTACGACCGATAATTATCGGCACTTCCGTGCACACGAAGGAACGAAGAAGAGCATTAGGAGAAATCGGTATGGGTGCAGCTGTGGCTTGTTAAGAGTGATGCGTGGGAAAGCGTTAGCGTAAGGTTATTACCGTTACATGTCAGAAACTATCGCTTAACGATAACGTCTAACAAACTGTTCTACGACCAATCACACGTCAGGAAAATACCAGTGGCATCCTCTTTCGTGTTCCCCTACGTGGCGTTTATAGCTATCTTTGAATGATAACTTGGTATTTCCCTTCTAATCGTAAGATTATTGAAAGAAAAAAGGAAAAAAGAAAAGGAAAAAAAGAGAAAACAAAAGTCTTCGTTTTTCAAATACAAAAATTATAGCGTTATATTAAATATATTACGATATACATAATATTTCGAAATAAATTACTATAATATGAATTTTATATATGTATGTTGCATGATAAAAAGGGCGGAAAAAACGAAAATGAATCGTTTCAAATTCGTTGTACTATACACGAATCTTTTTACGTATCCTTCGTGAAGAGCTCCCGGTTTTGTCGATTCGACGATGTCATCCGCTTATCTCTCTACGTGACAATATTTTTTAAACGCTCATCCAAAAGCACCCGTATTTCGTGAGGTTATCTATTGCGGGGATCGAGTCTATCTAATCTAAAAGAACCGTTTCCCATCGCGGTGATGTCCCTTTCTCGAAGAGAGACGCACCGGCTGTGTGACACCGTGTCACCAGTTTAGGTTATCATCCACGATCTTTTTCTTTCTTTTTCTCTCACATACGGTCTCAGATTTATATTTGATACTCTTAGAGAGAAGAGTACAATTTTTTGTTATCAACTTGAAACCTAACAATTTTTCTTTATTCCTAATCGATTTCAATCTCGTATAAATCTTATTTTATTCTAAATTTTACTAACAATAAGAATATTTTTTAATTAATATAATGTTATCCTATTTCTACTCAACTTATGGTCGTATTTGTTTTGAATATGTTTCTATCGATCGAGAAACGTATCCTTGTCAATATTTTTGGTAGAAGCCAAACGGAAGCTGCCCAAAGCGTGTCTAAGCGCGTAAATTTAAATATCCTTGTCGAAGAGGGCCCTTTTAGTTCGAGGGTAGCCTTTTGGCAGATCAGCCGTGAAATTAAGGGTCCACCCTAAGTTGGTTCTCTTCTCTGATGGAGAGATCGATAAGTCTCTTTGATAGAGAGAATGGAATGTTCAATATTTAATAACTTTTTATATGATTTTTATAACGATATAAAATTTCCTTTAAAAAAATTTCTTTCTAAGATATAAAACTTTACAGTGAATATAAATTACATATTTCAGGATTTAGTTCACAAGTATGGGTTTTTTCATTTTAGATTAATTTGTATAAAAAGAAAAATATCAAATAGCCATAAAAATACATGCAAAGCAATAAGAAAAGAAAATACGATGGTGTTAACTCTTATATACAATAATATAAATTATATATTTTATGGTACTATTAATCAACATAATTTTATTTCTAAATCTCTCTGTCTCTCTCTCTCTCTCTCTCTCTCTCTCTTTCTCCTTTATAAAAAAGAAATTAATAATAAAAGATAATAATAAAAAATAGTCACATACGCGGAAGAGAAAGAAACTTATGATAGAAAGATATAAATGACGTTGAAAAATCGAAAGTTACGAGCTCCCTTTCGTCGATAGGCTACCTTAAACATCCCGGGCCCGGTCATTATTTAAATAGAGACGATCGATTTGAAGAGGGACGAGGGTACGTTATACGAGATAGATCTCTTTCGGTTTAGCACCCTCGAACATATTTGACTGGGATTCGGGTTCTTTTCTTCAGAGGTAACCGCATTCAAAATGTAGCAGATGGACTAACTACCCCCATGAGAGAAAGAGAGAAAGAGAGATAGTCAGGCCAAGGGGCAAAGGTCGGTAACGCGGAGCCACCCCCGACGTCTGTTGAACATCAACCCTCGAAACACGATTCCGAAGTGACTTTAAATTCGTGCGTATCGCGACGACCGATCTCGAAGTGTAGTGTCTATAAACGAAAAATACGCCAACGTAAAGCGTTGTCGAATCGACGCTGCTCTCTTTCTTTCTCTATCTCCCTTCGCATTATGAAAATGGCCGAATAAAGTTACGTTTTCCTTACATCATAATTTCCCTTATACATACGTATCTGAAACGTCAACGATCCTTATTTATTCGAAAAATATTCGTTTTGTTTTCTTTCGTTTTAACCATTTGTTAAAACATTTTTATATTTGCGATCCTTAAAAAATATCTATTTCATTTTACTTCTCTTAAAATGAACGAAATGAAAATTTATCGTCCCTTGTTCAACAATTATCTTGAACAATAAAATGAAGTTATAAAATGGATCATCTCACGAGGAAGGAATTTCGGCACTCGGGTATTATCTATATTTTAAGACCGTTCGCAAAGTAGTATGCTTGTAGGTTACTTTACAAACTATATATCAAGCTTTAACGTTGATACGAGCTTAAAGACTTTGTATCCAAGCACGACACCTGCAGAAGAATATATTTTATCGTCGCTACTACCGGTGGTAAGAGGATCATCTTCAGAAAAAAAGTTGTCTTGGTATTCTGTTCAGACTAATAATCTTTAAAAGGAACAAAAAAAAGAAGAGCGGAGAGAGAGGGGAAAAGAAAACAGAAAGAAAGGAAGAAGGAATAAGGTACTCACAGCGACGCGGCTTTCTTTCAGTTCAAGTCTGACTGCTAGAGCTTCCCGCATAAATACATCGGGATAATGACTCGACAGGAAGGCTCGTTCCAATTCTTCCAGTTGCCAGCTATTAAAGTTGGTCCTGCTCCTTCGTCTTTTGCTACCACCTTCGTCGGATTCACCATCGCAGCCTGAAACGAGGAAAGAAGAAAATTGTTATCTTCAACATTATTGTTTCAACGCGCAAAAATCGATTGATTAAATGACCGAACACAACAAAGTGACATCTTTTCTAATCTCTTTTGTTTACAAACTGGACGATTATTGTTATTGAGAGCACAAGAACAAAAGGAAAAAAAAAAAGAAAAGAAAAGAAAAAAAATTGTTTCGATAACGATTTAAAAACATCATTAAATCAATTCATATCGTATCGTCTATCTCTCGTGTTTTATAAATAGATATATACAAAAATATATAAAAGATTAGCATGTAATTTTCAAAATAATATTTTTGACGATTGCTATCATCGTAATGAATTCGAATGTTAAATATGAGATACGACCGATATGTCTAATATTAATTAGAGATGACAAAAAATATATAATCGAATCAATTTTTATCCAAAAAGAATTTATGAGAACACTGACCCCGACAGGATATTTTCTCGTAGATGCTTACGGTGCTTTGAAAAGGTTTCGTCCACGAAAGACGTTTCGTGAGTCGCATGTTTGACTCAACTCGTGCTATGTCTGCCTTCCATAAACGTGGAAGACGTTCGAATCGAGAATCGAGGCTTATCTACAGGAAAATAGTCGGCAAACATGGAGCAACCATCATACCGATCTACCCTCTCTTCTACACCACCCTTACAAACCACCGACATCTAACTTCCTCTCTTTCTCTCTTTTTCTCTTTTTCTCTATTTGTGCAGATAAAGCGAAATACGAATCTGAAATCTCGACATATTGAATAAACATGGAATTTCAGTGATTTTACGAGAATGCTCCAGCATACGGTAGGTCCGTATCTTCCTCAGGGATCTGCCAGTCCCAGTGATCGTTTTGTCCTCTTTCCACCTTGTCGTACGGCGAATTTCTTTTATCCGTACTCATATATATATATATATATATATATATATATATATATATATATATATATAAATACATACATATGTATGCTAATATACCAGGGAACACACAGAATTGAATAAAAGATCGGAAATTATGATTGACTTGGCGATACTCGGCCGAAAGAGAATCCTTATCTTAATCGATATATAGACATCCATATATATTACATACATGTACATTTTACGTATATATACGTGTGCATGTGTACGCGCGAGCAGGCACGTGTATATATCTAGACATGGATATATAAAAATAAAGATGAAACGGCAAAGAAGGAGACGACGAAAGATCCTTTCTCTTCTAAACTCCAAGCTCGATCACGAAAATAGGTTCCATTACGAAACGAAACTCGTAGTATTATCGTTCGCCTTTATTGCGTGTTATGTTGAATATTCCGTTGAACAATAAATTTTTAGCATCCTCAATTGGTGTGTATCTAGTTTCTTTATTTTCTTATGAAAAATTTCAATCGGGTTTGACATAAATATCTATATCTAGATACTTATACCTAAGTCTTTAAATTCTCAGGCTATGGCGCCTCAGGTTTCATCTTTACGGGGAAAATGTTTCTAATTATGTATTCCAATGATGTCCACCGAAGTTACTTCTTTTTTTTTGTTCAACGACGCAACAATGATTTACGAAAGTTTATGATAGCTCAGTAATTATGTTAATCGAGATAGAAGACCACGTTCGTGAAAAGCATCGAACTAGTAAAGCGAAACGATCTCAAAGCAAATTCATGAATCTTTCCGTTAATAAAAGCGCGACACTCGTTTATCTATTCTTTATTACTCGCATTCCATAGCACCCTCTATTATTATCATCGAGGGTAATTACGAGAAAGCCGATAAACATTGTCGGGTGCATCGTTGGCGTTAAATAATTTATGAGATAACGAGTTAAACAATCTTCTGGTAATGGTCGTCTTCCCGTTCGGCCATTTTCCATGAGAGTTACCAGTCGACGTTCTACTCCTCGCAAATTATTTCTTCTCTTTTTGCTTTTATTCGAGAAAACGGAGAGGAAGTCGCTCGACGATGGGTAATACAGCCGGCGAATGATGGATCGGAGTGTATACATACGAATATAATGAATCGACTAATTTTGTAGTTATTTTCAAATACAACCACAAGGATATCAAATTTTAACGAATAAATTATTTTTTTCCCCTCTTTTTTCTTGTTTCCTAATATTCTTTCCTAATAGCTATTGAATAAATAATCGAACCAATTAACGTATACAAATTACATCCTCTTCGATGTCTAAATTAATTTATCCTGAAAGAAACGTAATTCGTTAATTAATTAATACATTAATATCGTCCGAAATTTATATTATAGATATTACCAGAGAATCATAATCTACTTCGGAGTATTATTATCAAAGATATCATTTGAAGAAATATCCAACGAAATTTATAATACATTACGAAGTATCGTATTCACTTAAAAATAGCGGAAAGTTATTGGCGGAAGATAATAAGGAACGTTGGTGACACAAGATCCCGATGATTTCACGAGAAGAGGATTCAATTTTGGTTCGTCGAATTAAAAGGAACGAGTGAAATCTTTGCTAGCGTTTCATTCTCCGTAGCTTTGCAATCCACAGTTTTACGATGTCATTCGTTTCGGAGTATCTCTCTTACTCTCCCAAAATTCCTCTCCTTTTCATATAGCTGGTCGCCATTTCCGCGAACACGCTGAAGCCTTATCGTACAAAAAGAGAGAGAGAGAGAGAGAGAGAGAGAGAGAGAGAGAAAGAGAGATAGAGAATAAATTCGCTCGTTAAACCAACGAACGAGCAAGTTCATCGAAGAAATTGCTAAAGTTCTCGCGTTTCGGCCAAGTTTCGACCAAGTTTCGTTTCGTGACCGCGAGAAACTGTGATTTATCGACTCTTTGACTGATACTCATCCTTCTCGTCCTTTCCTTTTAAAAGATCGTTTAATTATTGGTAGAAGATACTATTCGTCAACATCTCCTTTCCCACCAGCTATCAGAGGTCTAATACTATTCGTAATCTCAATCGAAAGTTAACATTTGTTGACCTTTAACGTATTTTTCGTTTGTTCAAAAACGATCAATGCTAATTTATTCACTGATGTTATCCATTGAATTGTATAATCTTAAATTTATTAATAGATAAAAAAATATGATGAATTATTTTAAATTCAATAATTAAAATGAGGAATTTCAAATTTTACCCGCGAAAAAATGTTTCCTCATGTACTTTATTAAATTTATTACAAAACATATATCAATAATTTAAAACGTTTCAAAAGAAAGGTCAATGTCTACTTTGAAAAAATGATTTCTTATTTGTATATAATATTCGAATTTAATGAATAGCTTTAGAACGTAGACACATACATCGACCAATTAAGATCTAACATCTACGTAAAATCTTATAGGTAAAGTGAACGTATGCTGAACATCGCCGAAAGCAAGAAAAAAATTATCGAGTCGCTCATTAATCAACGTAATTAGATACGATTTATCCCGAGGCGTTTTGCTCGAACCAAGGTAACCGAGACCAGAATGGATATCGATCGAATCTCTTCGTTATTGATAATCCGTAATTCATAATAAGTACTCGACTGGATCTCGTGCACAGTGGCAGTATGAAGGATTATCCCATTCAGTAAAGACTCGTCTTCGCAAATCCGGTGTACGCACGCGTTCGTTCAAATTTTCTTTACGTTAAATCGGAAGATGTCGTTTCCTTCAATAGAATTAATTATTTTGAAATCTTATATTCTATCAATTTTTAATGTTTCGAATAAATATATAATTAACCTTCTACAACTTCACTTTTTCATGTCTAAAAAAAAAAGAAAAAGGATAGATACAATGTGAAATATATACTAAAATAACTGCACTATATCGAATATAATTTGTACTTAGAGATAACATTAACTTTCTCACATATACTGATCGTTGATTCAAAGAATTTAATGATAAAGAAAAAGAAATGGGATTTCAAAAATATCTGTATGAACGTGTTTCTTAAGAATTGTACGGATTTATAAAGGATTAACGTTATACAGAAGTAGTTAAATAAAACATGTTGACGTATAAATAAGATCATACACGTTAAATTTAGTTGAAGAAAACTGACATGATAATAATATGAATATAAAAATTCAAATGTCTTGCGAATGTGAATTAGTTAACTACAAAAATGTACGAAAGAGATTATATCAGGATATTTCTGAGTATGATCGTCAAAAAGACTTCAACGAATTCTCATATTGAAATATATTTTCTTTTACTTCGTGCATCCAGACGAAGATGTCGAGTAATAAAAGGAAGAACAGAACGATATTCGCGCAGGGTCGCGTGTGTCGTTAAGGGAGCCAACGCAGTGGTAACGTATCATCATACGATTATACCACGCGAAAAACGCGGCACGTCGTCGCGTATTAACTACTCGCCTTATTTTGTTCTGGCATGCAACGGGCGAGTATCCACCTACAAGGTGCAATCATAAATTCATTTTCTTCATCAAGTTTTCTATTTCAATTTTTTTCAAAGAATTTTTGAAACCCTAAGTTATAACGAAGCTCTCGATTAAATCATTAAAGAGAATATATTAAATGAATTTAATTTAACCAAAATAATGAAATCACAATAACTATCTCTCCCTAACTCTGTTTCATTAAAACTTCAAGAAAAAAAAAAAAAAAAACAAAACATATCAACTCTCATTCAACCATACAATTAAATCGTTCTTCCTAATTATCTTATAAGCTTCATGAATATGCAATAAGATGAATAAGACATTGGAAAGAAGACAAGCGAGTTGAGAAGTAAGGATGAACTTCATAACATGGTTCGATTCACATCCCAGATACGTCGTCTTTGAAGACAGCGAAACTTTGGTGGTGATGGTGGTTGTACTAGTTGTGGCAGGTTTCAGGCAAACTGCGAAATGGCGTGCTCGCTTAAGGCATTTAATGAGCCTCCTCGTCTTTACGCATTTATATATATATATATATATATATATATATATATATATGTATGTGTGTTATATTGATATACACTGAGAGAGATGCGCGT